TTATTTTAGTAACTTTAATTATTCAATATGCCTGACTATTTAGGCGACGAAATGAGAAAAGTGAAGAAAGACGAGCCCGAAAAAGAAGAAAAAGAAAAAGAAATCAAATGTAATTCGAAAAAATGATTTTTACTCTAATATTATGTTTTTAATAATAGTGTTTACTTTTGCAAATACTCACGTATTTTATGCATGTATATTATTTCATATTATTCAAGTATAAAACTCAAACTATTTTTTCTGAATAGTAATAAATAAAGATACTAATTAGAAGTACCTGTTAGGTTAGGTCTGTACGGTGTGTGTAGCTACTTAAAATTYTTATAGTCTTGTGAAAATACTATTGCTAYCAGATTTTTACTTCTACTTAAAACAATTTAGGTTTWTTTGTTTAAGAATAATATTATTTAATAATTTCAGGTATCGTTTCTGATAATGTATTATTTAAGTTTTAATCAAGATTTTTTTGAATTATTGTTTAAAATTGGTTATTTGCAGTGGCAGCTCACAAGTAAATTCATTGGGGAGACTGAAAATGTATAATGTAATTTATAACTTGTCTATAACCTCCTAAACTAGCGATCGTCATCATTATCAATATTTACGCCCGTATTATTGAATGACACCCGTATTACCATTATTTATGTAAAAATAGAATACAAAAATTATATTATCATATCATAAACCATAATAATTATTTTCAATATGGATAAAAATATCAAATTATAATATAATTTTCTTTAAACTTTTTTATTTTGTCTCTAATTTTTGTTAATAGGTAGTCGCCGTCTTAAAAACTTCCCTTACGAGCTGCCACTGGTTATTTGCAATATAATAGAACTTTTTAGTTTAAATAATATTTTGTATATAATACAATTTTAGTAAAATCTAAGTTACCTTCAAATACAAATAAGATCTCTTTTAATATTTAAGTTGATTTTATTTTTTCAATTATTCTTGATTCTGAGAGACCTTATGTTTTAGAATTTATTTATGTTTGTTTGACTTCCTAAGAATGTTCAGGTTCTTGTGATAATGATAGGAAGTTGAAGTGTATAAGGTAAATAAGTTTAAGTACTTAGGATAATCATTATACAAAAGAATATGATCTTAAAAGTAGAATGAGTGGATGAATGAAGTGGAGAAAAGTGTTAGGTATTTGGTGTAACAAAAGGTTTGTATGCCATTAAGCTAAAAATGTTAGGAAATGGACTATAAAACAGAACCGGGGGTAAATTTAACAGGGACTGGAATGCCCTAGCAAATTTGTTGAGCTACTGGATATTAAATAAGATATTAATTAATTTGGTGTAGTGTAGGGCTAAAATTATTGTAGATAAAATGAGAAAGWATATGTTAAGATTATTCGGTCATTGTATAAAGAGATGTGACGTGGTAGTAAAAGTTGTTATAGAAATTAATGTAGAAGGAAATAATGGGAGATAAAGACTGAAAAGGAGATTGATAAACAGAATATAGAATAACTCAAAAATTATTGAAATAAGTAAAGAAAAATGGGAGATAAAGACTGAAAAGGAGATTGATAAACAGAATATAGAATAACACAAAAATTATTGAAATAAGTAAAGAAAAATGGGAGACAGTCCTATGGAGGTTTAGGATAAGAGTGGCTTCATATACTCATAGATATGTATTAGACTTCATATATTTGGAGTGAAGGGCAAAGAAAAAGAAGTAAAATTTAATTTAATATTAAAGAAATGTAGGTGTTATTGAATTAATTAAAAAAATTATTATTTCATTATTATGTTGGTAAACATTGAGCCTTTTGCCATACATGTTTGCGTCATACACGCATTTYTAGTGCTTATAATTCTGATCTACTTAAGAGTTTTATATGATAAAACATTTGAATAAAAATGTAAAGTTAGTTACCCAAGGTCTAAATAAACTAAAAATTTATTCATTTTTAATTTAATTTTTAGCTCTGGATGAAGAGGACATAGCATTACTCAAAACATATGTAAGTAGTATTCAATATTGTTAAAATATCTATACTAAGTAAACTTAATTGTTATATTTATAGGGTCAAGGTCAATGGACAATTAATGTAAAAGCAGTAGAAGATGATATCCAAGGAATCATTAAACGTATTAATGAATTAACTGGAATTAAAGAATCAGATACTGGATTGGCACCTCCTGCATTTTGGGATTTAACTGCTGACAAACAGACACTTCAAAATGAACAACCATTACAGGTAAATAATTCCTTCATAATTATTTAGATATTTTTAATATTGACTTATTAATTTTATAAGGTTGCCAGATGTACAAAAATCATTAATGCTGATTCAGATGATCCTAAATATATWATTAATGTCAAACAATTCGCCAAGTTTGTTGTTGATCTCGCAGATTCTGTTGCACCAACTGATATTGAAGAAGGAATGCGTGTTGGGTAAAAAATATATTTGCTTCTATAAATCTGCATGTCTTATTTATTTTGTATTCATTTAATACAGAGTTGACCGTAATAAGTATCAAATTCATATTCCGCTTCCACCTAAAATTGATCCTACTGTTACTATGATGCAAGTAGAAGAAAAGCCTGATGTTACATATTCAGATGTTGGTGGATGTAAAGAACAGATAGATAAATTACGAGAAGTTGTTGAAACTCCATTATTGCATGTTGGTATTTAAWATGTTTTCTAACTTAYTATTTTTTATTAATTTAATCAACTAAAATTATGTTGAATTTTTAGCCTGAAAAATTTGTGAACTTGGGAATTGAACCACCAAAAGGAGTTTTATTGTTTGGACCACCAGGAACTGGTAAAACATTATGTGCTAGAGCAGTTGCTAATCGTACAGATGCTTGTTTTATTCGAGTAATTGGTTCTGAGCTTGTTCAAAAATATGTTGGAGAGGTAAAATTCAAATATATTTTACACTTGTTGTTCATCAATTTTAGTTATATTCATCAATATATTTGTGGAATTTTAGGGTGCCCGCATGGTTCGTGAGTTGTTTGAAATGGCACGCAGTAAAAAAGCTTGCTTGATATTCTTTGATGAAATTGATGCAATTGGTGGTGCACGTTTTGATGATGGTGCCGGTGGCGATAACGAAGTTCAAAGAACTATGTTGGAGCTTATTAATCAGTTAGATGGATTTGATCCCAGAGGAAACATTAAAGTTTTAATGGCTACTAATAGACCAGATACATTAGATCCAGCTTTGATGCGTCCTGGACGTCTTGATAGAAAAGTTGAATTTGGTTTGCCTGATTTAGAAGGTCGAACTCATATTTTCAATATACATGCTAGAGCTATGAGTGTTGAACGAGATATTCGTTTTGAATTGTTGGCTAGACTTTGTCCCAATAGCACTGGTARGTCTAAATTTATATATTTGTTTATTATAATGTTATATAGTTATGCGTCCAAATGTCAAACAATTTGGTGTTTTGTTTAGGAAAAATTAAAAATTGCAGTGGAGAGAATTTTTAGGTTTCACATATTATATTTATTTTGTTTATACAACTTAATAGATATAYAAATATGGAAATTTRTTAATAACAAATTTATTTTGTAAAAACAATTTTCTTTAGCATATTATTACTATCAAATTTTTGGCTATAGTGAATGTTTAGGCTATTTTTTATATTTTAAAATATATTGTTTATGAAAAATCATAATTCTTCATTTATCGAATGGGAATTTATTTTATATTACAAAAAAATGAGAAAAAAATATTGTTGATTATAATCTTTTAATAACTTGTTTTTAAACATCAATATTTATTGTTTATTTCAATCAGGGTTGGGACGTATTATACCCGTATGTATAATTGATGTATTATACTACGTATTATACGTATTATACCTCACGTATTAAACGTCCAATTATACATATGTTTTATACATAGGTACAAAATCTGTTTTCTGATAACAGTTACTATCATTTTATTACCCCAATTCATAATATGGTACAGTATTGTATCTTAAAAGTTAAAAGTCAAAATTACTTACAAACATATAATGAAAGAACATGTATAACAATTAACAATAAACATATTTTCTCAAGTTAGGTATTTAGTTTTATACTTGTGTTTATTTAAATAAAGTCAATATTGTTAATAAAAATTAAAAAAACATCAACAATAAGTGTAAAAAACTACAAGGATTATTATTTTAATCACTATATAACACCTATAACTATTAAATAACTATTAAGTATAAACTAATGATATTTAGGTATTATTTTTAAAAAAACATAAGGTTTTATTGTTTTATACCGTATAAAACGTATAATACGTTGACATGTATAAAACTTTTATACAATAATTTGCCCAACCCTGATTTCAATGGTTAGTAACTGATTTGTTTGTTTTTGGTTACTGGGCCTCCTAGACTAATAAACTATTCTGTTCAACCGAATGTTATTATTTTTTTTTACTTAATATTCAAACCGAAAAAATTATACACAACAGTTAGGTTGTAACAATTTAATATAATATAGGTACTTTAACATAATTAAATAAAAAGTTGAATTCATCCAAAAACCAAAAAAAGAAGTATAGTGAATATAGTTTTTTTCAGAGCTTATAAGCATCATATTTTAAGCTTTTAAGAACCCAAAACTTTGCTCTCCTGTAATTAGATAGTCATTATCAGGATTATAGGTGATTTGGTTAAACTAATTTTATATAAAATTATTGTTATACTAACCAAATTAAAAAACTGCTCATTGAATATTTTAATAAAATTGACTTTAAATTAACAAAAACCTAACTGTACGTCTTTCACATGTGGCAGTCGGTTATAATTTTAATCAACAGACATTTAATATTGATATAATATTTGATATTATTATTATTATTATTATTATTATACATCTTTGATTATATCAGATAATTTTGAATTGTTGTCTAC